ATTGTGTAGCTAAGCCTCCAGCGCCGCTGCAGCGACAGCTCCAGACACCACCAAGACGGACAGAAACAGGGCCTGGCCGGGCCCAACGGAGGTCCAAAACGGCCTGAGCTCTTCTTTGCTTGGTGTTTCTTTCTCTGTGGTGCCGGCACGATTCTCCATGACTCCTTTCATCCACGGCTGGCCCTGTATGCAGATTGAGTGCCAAGACATCTGCATCTGCAGCCGTCGAGGCCAATGCCTTGTAATTCACAAACAGAACCGCGGCTGTCTGTGCCTAAGCCAGTGCAGTCTGTTGAAGACTTGCGTGGAGGCTGGAAACATACACTTAGAGCGTGGCGGTCTCCACCAGGAACACGATGGTGTTCATCAAGTTTGGCCTTAGAACACAAGCGGTCGCGCACGAACATGTTGAAGCTTGCTTGTTCTAAGGTCGAATCAGAAAAGGCTTGGTCCACATGGACAATGCATATTGAGTCCAGTCCTGCTCCTCTTCCTGACAAGCAAGCCGTGCAGAACTTGACCAAAGCGTGCCGCCCGCCTGCTCAATGAGCCCACGTCGCCTAGCCCTCTCTCGCTTCCAGAAGTCCGAGACATCCTCACGCATCTCCAAGCGCAGAGTGGTGAAGGCAAGGAGTGTTGGACAGTGCTCCGTTGCAGCTGGTTTTAGATACGACTGCGACATCAGTGGAAAAACTGGCACTCCTTCAGCGAAGGTCCAGACCAACCTGTACACCACAAGCGAAGCTACTTCCACTAGCACGGTTTGGAAGGCCTGCTAGTCTTTCCATGGAGTCCTCTTCCATCGCCGCACGAGCCATTTTCACCGCGGTGACCTCAGCACTCATCTGCCAGCAGCGTCCCGCTTGGCCGAAGCTTTACCCGCCCGCTTATGTCACTAAGGCCTGCACCATACAGAACAAGTGTATGGCCGCCTCAGAGTTTGAGGCAACAGCTTGTTCTGACCTTTGGTGATCTCCACGTCAAGTGGCAAACAGTTATTCAAACACACGCCGCAAATGCTTGGCTCTTGCCTGGCCCAGCATGGAGATGAAAACGGCAGGATGAAAAAGGGATCGCAGTGGTCGAACAGGATGCATGCGGTCACCTGCAACCACCACTGGTTGAGTCTGGTCAACAACATCGCACTTGCATATCCTGGAAAATGCGTACTTTCAGTTGTTGATAAGGTTCCTACAAGCAAGAAAAATAACGTGGATATTGTGGTGTGCCCGTTTGGGAAATGGATGTTGGCTCCTGTCATATATGATCAGTTTTCATGGGAAAGAAAGAACTGGACAGGGAGGCTTACCCAACCAAGTGGCTACGCACACTCTGCTCACACGCTTTCTGTTGAAATCCAGAGCTACTTAAAGGTCGACTTCAAGCACAACAAGGTCAAAACAAGGAGACGGCCCTCAAATTCTGGCTGGCTTCCACGCATCTGAGAAGCACAAGGACCACCTTTGGAAAATTGCAGGACTTGGGCAAAGTGCGATCAGTGCAACGTTCCACCAAGTACCTGCGCCCTCAAAACTGTCTCCGAACCGCAGAGGCTTACGCTGAGTTCGACCAAGTCTTTGTGCAGGGCAAGGGGGCCGTCAATGTAGTCCAAACAACGCAATTGCCGACCTATGCCAGGCAGCGCTGTCAATTCTTTTCTGGTGGCCCCGGGGGACTTGGCCAGAAAGTATGCTTGAGCCTGTCCGAAAACAGAAATGCAACCCCAACCTAGTGATACAACTAATGGGAGTTACAATGCCAACGTGCACACTCAGGACCATACTGAAACAGGTGACGCAACGCCCTCAAGCGTGCAAAGGCAAAGTTCACTGCTCCCTCTGAATGCAAACAAATAGCCACAAAAAGTTTGCCCGTATACTTTCAAGGCGATGACAGGCCTTGCTTGCAGCAAAGTGGCAAGGACTTGCATAAGTGAAGGCCAATGAGGCTGTCGTCAGAAGCCATGATGATGCCATCATCTGCCTGTTCGTTTCAAACAATGTGTGCGTCAGGCTTGAAATACAAAACAGGCCTTTCAGAAGAGCGAGATCCTTCCAGAGACAGGGCGGACAGTACGTAGGCGTTGATGATGCAATTCAACCTCATCCAAGTCCCTGGCACAGCCCTTTGTGACCATTGAGGCCCGCGCATCATGATTTGCTGTTGTTGGAGTGCCTTACGATGGCATAAAGGCACAGGCAGATACGACGTGTAATACAACGTGTACAACGGACTGTCGACTTCTCTCCCATCTCAGCAGCACACGGACAACAGTGTGCAGCGCCCTTGTCGAATCAAGTCCACGCAATTCTTCACCGAAGGGGCCTTGCCATTCGTCCCATTCGTCCATCCAAAGAGGCCCGAAAGGGCGCGAAAACCATTTTGAAGGACTCTACGGAGGTCCTTGGTAGTGAAAGGAGCTGCGATGGAGGCATCACCAGGCCTGCACACCGCTTCAAATCGACGAACTCAAGGTTTGCAGAAACAGCAAACAGTTCACATATTGTTAAAGTTGTAAACACCTGATGACATAGATGTGTCAAACCTGTGATGTGACAGCTCGGCACTTGTTGTCCAGCGGGCAAGGGCTGTAGTCTTTCTGTGGTCTACTTGTAGGCTCAAGGCCTTGATGTACAAATGGGCAGTGTCATGTACAAGGTGGATGTATCTTAAGCTTCAGGACATCGATGGTACAACCATCCTGTCTCAACAACAGGGCTCTCAACAAGAAGCGCCTCCTGGACGACAACTAACTACATGCCATTTTGGCACACTGGATTGTTGGCACAATGACGCAGCTACATCCTTCAGACATCAGGTCACGTGAATGCAGTTTGTACAGATGCTCGATTCATTAGAAGCATGGATGTACAAAGTGAAACAGCCAGCAGAGCTGATAACAGACTTTACATCGCATCGCCCAGTTAGAACAAAACTGTTTGGCTTGATGTTGGACGGACTACATCAAGCCAAACAGTTTTGTTCTAACTGGGCGATGCGATGTAAAGTCTGTTCTCAGCTCTGCTGGCTTTTTCACTTTGTACATCCATGCTGCGCCATTGTGCCAAAAATCCGGTGCGCCAAAATGGCTCGCTGTGTCCCACCTGTCCAGCAACCAGGATTGTACCGCTCCCTGTGAGCTGCATTCCATGCTCCACGATGTACTGGATAAGAATTGTCCTGAGTGGCTCAGCGATGGGTTGTACTGCGGCATAGCTGTAGTGATGTAGAGCCATGGTGAGGGCCGCATGAGCCCTGTCCAGATCCAAATATTTTTTGAGCACTGTCTTGATGGGGATGACTACGTGTTGCAAAATGAGGTTGTAGCGCTGGTAGAAATTTGTCATGTGGCCCTGCACCTTCTCGATGGTCGACAAGGTCCATGTGCAAGTGTGTTGTAATGCCCTGATGTAGCCCCTGTTGAACAATGTCACTTGCTTCTGGTAAACCTTCTGGAAAAGCTCGTCCGTCTGGAGGTTGACCTTGAAGATGTAAAAGGTTGTCATGTCCAGTGTGCTGTCAAGACCTTCATGCATCAACCAGCTGATGTAGCCGACGCAATCCATGAGGCTGTAAAGCATTTGAATGAATCCCAGTGTGGGAGACCTCATGTAGCCCGGAATCTTGTGTATCTCACCTGGCTGCGATGCGGCAGCGGTTGTAATGAACTTGTACTGCTCCTCAATGCAATCCTGAGGGTTAGCCGGTGTAGTCGGGTTGCTCCCAACCTGTTCGACTGTGAATCCTTCCGGCACTGCCAAAGGCATGCGCAGGGTCTTGTAGGCGCGGTGATCCATTGTAGGATGTTGGCCTCAGAGCAAACTGTAGAAACCAAATGTAGATGGCTGCAGCATGTGTCAAAACATTGTCTGAAACATGTACCAACTGTCATGCAGAAAATGTCCCAAATGTAGAGGGTTGTAAAGCGCGAGCGGGTCGATCCATGGCAATGTGTCTACCCTAAAAGATTGTAACTACGCCGGCTGTTGTGGGTGACCTGCGCACCTGTTGTTTAACAACCTGTGCTGACTACTGCACTCACTGGTGTGAAACTGTTGCGGTGTGGCCTCAAAGGCCAACATTGCACAGGTGTTTGTTGAGTGTGTCGCAGCCAACAAACTTGGTAAGAAGGTCGGCTGCGTTGTCCTCTGACTTTACCTTGTGCACTGTAATGATTTTGCTCTTGACAAGTTGTTGTGTGAAGGGGTGTCGCGGCTCGATGCGCTTTGCTTTCTTTGATGCACCTTCCCTCGTTGCTACTGATTTTGCTGCGCTGCTGTCTGTGTGTGTCCTGATGTTGGTGCGTACTTCAAAAGCTTCTTTGATGAAGTTGCTGATGTAGAGTCTCTCCTGTGCGGCTGCACCAGTTGCGCACAGTTCTGGTTCTGCTGATGAAAGTGCTATTGTTGCTTGTGATCTGCTGCCATAGTGTACTGCTGCTCCAAAGAAGTACAGTACAAATCCTGTTGCGCTTTTCCTTGTTGTCTCGCATGATGCCACGTTGGCATCTGTGTGTGTGTGTGTGCGTCAATGTTGAGTGGAACTCGCTTGTCCTGCGCTTGTATCTTTGGTCGCAGGTTGTGTCGCATGTACCTTGTTCCTTTCAGGTATCCGATCATGTGCTCGAGCTTCTTGTTGTCAAGTTGCGTTGGTGCTTGTAGTGATCTTGCTTGCCCTTTTGCTCCATAGCTGATGTCTGGTCGTGTGTATGCTAGCCATTGTATCTTGCCAACAAGCCGCCTGTGTTGTTTGTGCTGTTCTTGGTCTAGTAGCGCTTCATCTTCTGCTGTACCTTTCATGTGTGGCACTCCTGGTGATGGCGCTGGGTTGCATGTGCTCATTCATGACTCTTCCAGGATGATGTCAACATAGTTGTTGTTCAAGCTGATGCCAATGTGGTCGCCTTTGTGTGAAATGTTCCTACCAAGAAACGCATTGTTGATCCGACTGTTTGGTCGCCTGTGTGTCTTAGCAGGACTTTCTTTTGTCTCCTGCTGAAGAGCGTGTTGATGATGCTCTGTACACTCCTATGAAGAGGAGATCGTCTACATAGATCATGATGTAGACTTGACAGTCTTTTGGTCTGTAGACATCGCTTTCTGTTGCGCGTCTCACAAGTTCAAGTGCCACTGTGAGAATGTGGTCTTGCCATTGTTTTGGTGATGATCGTAGGCCATAAATGGCTTTGTTCAGCCGCCACATTATGTGTCTGTTTTCATCATTGTAGAACTCGTGTGGCGGTCGCATTGCTAGTTTGTATGGACATCTCCTGTACTGACTGACCAGTTGTACACCAGTGCCATTGTAAGAAGTATTCTCAGTACGCAAAACAATGGTGTACTGGCGAAGAGTAGGTCGTGGTCTGTAACGGGTTCTGCGTAGCCTTTTCCTACTACGCGTGCTCGTATTTCATTGTGTTTTTGCTTGAGAACCCATCTTGACTCGATGATGTTTGCTCGTTGTTCTGGTGTCATTGTGTTGCCATCAATCTCTGTGAAGACTGATTGATCTTTCATTCGTTGTACTTCTTTCTTCACTCCTTGCGCCACTTGTTGTGGGTCCAAGCCTTCTGTGTCGTGTGCGATTGGCTCTAGTAGGACCCTTTCATTGTCGATTTCTTCTGTGTCTTCATTGGATGTTGTCTCCATTTGTTTACCATCCTTTGTTGTGAACTTGACGGCATTTAGTCTCGTTTTGCCCTTTGGCTGTTTGGCTGTTGTAGGTCGCTCCAGCGCTTGTCTCTCTGCTGCGGTGCGCTGTTGCTTGCCTGCGCTGCCTTCTGCTATTGCGTCATCTCTTTTCTCTTGCGGGTGATGTAGGCGGTGGTGCTGGCAGCGCTGGTCGCTTCTGATGTGTTGGTGAGGTAGCCATTGGTGATGTTGGCTCTGCTGTTCTCTTCTGCTTTGTTGGCTGATCGCTTGCTTGCGCTGCGCTCTGTCTCTTTCCTTCTGATGATGCGTTCGTTGTTGCATCTTTCTGTGGCGGCGGCGCCTTGCTTGTAGCTGGCATTGTCAATGGTGTTGCGAGAGTTGGTGCGCGCAGTGCTGACGCTGGTGTCTTCCATGGGCCTGTGTGTACACAGTCCACTAGTTGTTGACTGTATTTGTGAGGCGTCCTTGCTCTGACAATCTTGTTGTAAAATTCAATGAGGGATTCACCTGCGGTTGTATCCTTGCCAAGCCAGATCTCGTTGTAGAATCTCGGCTCGAGGTTGCACTGTCTCACCAAACTTGCAAAGTGGTGTATGTTGCTCTCTGCTCCATCTGTTGAAGTAGCTTGTGCATCCATTGCTGTGAACTGCATACCTGTTCATGATGTATGCACTGTGTCGAACTATCCCAAGGCGTGAGTGGATGTTTCATTGAAATGTCTCTGTTGTAGTTTTGTCTGATCTGTGCCTTGAGTGTTCTGATTTGTGCAAACAGTGTTCTGCGCGCTCGCTCTACACCTCCTTGTGACTGTGAACTGTGTGCTCCTGAGTTCCTTGTGGTGATGTTGCCATTCTTGCTTGCCACTGGAAGTCTTCCTGACCCGATTGTAGTATGGTGCGTGTTGTCCTTCCACATTCACTGAGGAAGTGCTGTAGCTGTGTATCTGCACACTCGAAGAGCATTCTCTTGTCTGTCAGTTGTAGTGCCATGTCAATTGCTGTGAGAATTGGATGTACGATGCTGCCATCAAAGCCTTTGATGTAGCCGAAGTCAAGCTGTACGATTGGAAGCTTGCTGTGTTGCTTTGGGTGATTGTTCTGCCTGCCTCTTGCTTGTACGCATGTTGGACACCAACTCCTGTAAGGGAGATGTGTCACGTTGTGCTCGAGTATCTCCTGTGGTGTTGGTTGCTTGGGTGCTTGTACTGCTTTTGCTTTTGTACCCTGTTGTTGTTCCTCATCATCTGACTCAAGTTGTGTTGGAAACTCCTGGTGTTCCTCAAAGTTTGCCCAGCCTGTCCAAGGCTTGTCTGATGTCTTTGCTGGCTGCGTTGTCCATTCATCTTCTACCAATCTTGTGTTGTGTCTTTCTCCAACTCGTTGTGCCTTGGTTTGTCTCCAAGGTATGAGTCGCTTGATGTCTGGCCCGTCGTGTGTCTGCTCTGGTGTTAAAACGCTGACCGAGGCTCAACATAACATGTACTCTTGTCCAGTATGGGCCTTCTCTGTACCAGTTGTCTCCTCCAGGTTGTACTTCTGAAGGATGTGGAAGCCCTTGTCCGGCTGCACCTTTGGTGGTGTGTGGTGCTGCTGACTCCTGTAGTGTTGGTGGTGTTGTTTTCTCTCTATCTCGTTCGTTTGTAGTGAATACTTGTGGTGTGACCTTCTGTGGCTCGCTCCTCGGCTGTCTTTGTTGCAAACTGTTGCTGCGGTGTTTCTGGCAATTTTGTGCCTTTCTTGATCCTGAACGTTGCTTCTCCTTTCCGCATCTGTGGCTGTGCTTTGTTTGGCTCTTCCATTGTTTGATACTTGTCCTCCAACGTATTCGTTGCGCCGTCCTTGAATCTGATGGTTGTTTTCCTGTAGTCCTCAAGTTGCTCTGCTGGGACTGAACACTGTGTTCTTGATGGTGTGAAAAGTGTCTTCCTGTGTTGCCTGTGTACTCTGACAAGTTCTCCTTGTGTGTTGAACTGCCCGCGGTCTCCTGCGTTGCGGTCGGTGCTATCATGCCAATCTGTCCTTGTTCTGTGTTTTGTGTCTGTGGCTTTGTTCCTTTTGGCAATGCTGCGATTTCTGCTTGTAGGAAGAACAGGCCATTTCTGTTCTCCAGTTTGCTGCTGAAATCTTTGATGCGCTGTAGTCTTGGATTGTCACGCAAGCCCATCTGTACCCGAAAAGTTTGATGCGCTGGTTAGTCACTGTTCTGCGGCCCCGCGCCATGTGCTAGTTGGTGTAGTGAGAATTGTGACGCAAACCATAGTGGGCATACATGTGTAGCCGCACCGCTGTCAATCATAAGACTGACCCAGTTGTTGTCTTCTGTTGGTTGTTGCGCTGCGCCAATCATGGCAGTTGTTACTTCATGGATCTGCTACCTGCGCTGGTTGTGGTAGCGCCAGTTGGCGCATCTGTGACTGATCCTGGTGATACCAGTTGTTGTCGTAGTGTGCCTGGTTGTACCAGTCATCTGTCTGGTCAGTCTGGTCATTGGTGTCGAAGGTTCCTGTGTCGCAGTTGTAGATCGCCACTCTGCATTGTTTGGCCATGTGTCCTGGTTGTCCGCATCTGTAGCAAGCATTTGTTGCGTGTTTTCCTTTTGCTCCTTTTCCTCCTTGTTGGTTGTTGTAGTATCCTTTGCCTTTTCCTTTGTTGCTGTATCCTTTTCCTTTGCCCTATCCTTGTTGTCCTTTGAATGGATTTCCTTGTCCAACCGGTTGTTGATTGCACTTGCCTTTTCCTCCTTTGTAGTTGTTGTAGCTGTAGTTGTTCCCGTAGCCGCCATAGCCTTTGTCTTTGTTGCGCCTTCCTTTGCCATTTCGCTTGCCTTTCTTTCCTTTACCTTTGTTGTACCATGTTGCTCCTATGTCCATCGGTGCTGGTGCTTGGTTATTGTTGCTTGATGTGATTGCTTGTAGCCTGGTGAATGATGCTGTCGCTCTGTAGTACTCGATCACCATTGATCTGATCTGTGCATATGTTGTGATGTTTCCTGCTTGCAGCTGTAGATGTTGCTGTAGTGGTCCTTTTGTCTCGTTGAGCAGTATTGCAATCTTGACTGCGTCTGGTAGTAGTGTGTTGTTGTCCTGTTCATACCTGGAGAGTTGAAACTCCCATGTTGCGAAGCTCTCTTCGAACTTCTGTTCATCAAGCTGTGGTTTTAGCAGCCGTGTAAGGTACCCAATGCTCTTTGTACCAAGTGGTATGGAGTACCTTGCATGTGTCAGCCGCCATGTTTCAAATCCGTCGCCTTGCATGTTTTGTCTGCAGATTGTAGACGCTGGTCCATCGCGCGCGCTCACCAAGAGGTAGCGCAGGCTGTTGCTCAGTTGTACCCATTGCTCTGCTACTGCTTGTGAAGGTGCTGCATTATCAAGTTGGTCGTTTGTAACTTGTCCTGTTGATTGCTCTGACTGTTTCAGCAGTCTGTTGTATGCTGGGCCTTGAAGTCTTAAGTATGCTGTCATCTTGTACTTCCATTCTTCGAAGGTGTTGTATTCTCCTGTGAACCGTGGTGGTGATACCTTGTATTTGTGGATTCCTTCCAGCTGCTGTTCTTGCTGCTGTTGCTGTTGTTGCGCCATGTTGCTCACTACTGTGTACCTGAACCTGTGGGTGTATGTTGGAGCTCACCCTGGGTTGTGATCGTGGATCGTGTACCAGGGACCACTGCTCCGCTACCACGTTAAAGTGGAATTGACGGTGTAAACACCTGATGACCTAGATGTGTCAAACCTGTAATGTGACAGCTCGGCACTTGTTGTCCAGGGGGCAAGGGCTGTAGTCTTTCTGTGGTCTACTTGTAGGCTCAAGGCCTTGATGTACAAATGGGCAGTGTCATGTACAAGGTGGATGTATCTTAACACTTATATATATATATATATACATACATATGTATGTGTATATATATATATATGTGTATATATATCGTCCACAAGCCTGGGACTGGCCCTTCTAGTCCCATGAATGTCGTGAATAACGCATGCACTTGGGCGATCAGCAAGCAGAATTCGACAGTGGCCTGACCATTGGGAGGCCACCAGCCTCTTCCAGTCCGCCAAGTGCCTTGTGGGTGTCGACCATGTCTTCAAATGGCAAAGGCCCTGGAGACTGTCGTGCTGCCGTGGGTGCTGCGGCCGGATTCTTCAAGTCCAGGCCATCTTCCTTTTTGTCCTTGCCCTCATCCTAAGATGATCAAGCAAAAGCCACCTCTGTGGGTATACCTTGAACTTGCCAAGCTGCATACACGTTGCCGTGCGTCTTGTCGTACTCCTTCGCTGACTTCAAAGCTGTGAACTTGCAAACCCGTCCACGCAAGTCCTTCATCACTCGCTTCAGCTCTTCAGTGTAGCGCCCCATTGAGGACTTCATGGCTCCTGCCTCTGCGCAGGCTGTGTATATTCATTAGAAATCAAAAAGCAAACATATTGCAAATGGGAGTGCAACCAACAAGCCTCCAATCCAAACCACAAATCAAGGCCAAAGTGAGAAGTGAAGCATCAAAACCAGCAGCGGGGCCTGAGACATCAGTCCGCTTTCACCTCTCTTGGCACGGGCCTCAAGTCGCCAGAGGTTGCAACTTAAGCGGAGCTTGCATTGGATGAGCGCGTCAAAAGTCGCTATGTGCGCCGTGGTCATGGCCCCCTTAAGGATCCTACTGGTTGAATATTCTTTTAAAAAATCCTGATTGAGGGAACCATGACCGTCCCTATCAGCACAACGGTCCTTTCATTACGGCACAAATGAGGCAGAATTTTTGCCAAATTGGCAGGCTTGTCTCTATTGGGAAGCCGGCATCCATCTCCTCTTCCAGCCACTGCCGTTGTAGTTCGGCCAGGTTCTTCTGCTTCTGCCACAGGAAGTCTTTTCGAGCCTCAGACAGCCGAAAGGATCAAGTCCCAACCAGGACTCCCTGTCTTCATTGCCTCTAGCTCGCTACAACGATGTATTTTGCAGTCATTCACCAGCACCGTCAACATCCACAGCATCATGTTTGGCGCCCCAGAATCGTTTTTGACAACCCCGGCATCACCAGTGTGCTGCTTCGGGTGCTTCAGAATTGGTGGGTTTTAGGTTGGTCTAGAGTTTGCTTAGGGTTTGTGTATGGTGAATTCGGTTTCATGGTTTCCTTGTTGTTTTGAGGGTTGATTCAGGGTGGGATTAGCGTGGGTTCAGGGATGGCTTAGCGCAGGTTTAGGGTTTCTGTAGGGGCAGTTTGTGGTTCGTTCAGAGTTTGCTTGGGGCTCGGTTCGGGTTTGCTTAGGGTTTGCTTAGGTGTTTAGGATGGGATTCGAGTGAGTTTAGCGTGCGCGTAGGTTTGGCTTAGGGTAAGTTGGTTTGGTGCTGGTTTAGGATGGGCTAAAGCCACCAAAAGACACCCAGGATGCGTTTGGGGCGGGCTCGGAGGACACCAATGGAATCTCTCTGCGCAATACAAACGCGATCCTGGCGGCGACGCTAAGGGGCAAAAAGCCAAAGCCACAAAAGCCGCCAAAGCGGCAAAAGCCAAAACGCCAGCCAGAGACCAGAAAAAAAAGGAAACAAACAAGATCAAATCCTGCAAAAATTGCCCTTGTTTTAAGTGTTCCTTGGGGTCTTTAAGAAATGCCCCGGACAAAATCAAGTGTTTTGCCAAGGGGACTTGGAATCATTGGGGTGTGCCCCCTTTTGTGGGGAAATTCGGGTGGGCCGCATTCTCCGCCCCAAAGCAACAGTACACCAGTCATGTTGTCGATAAGAATAACAAACAAAACAATTATCAGGACCATCATGGTGATGACTATGATAATGATGACATGCTTGCCAGTTGCTCAACTGAACCTGCGGTGGGAAACAACCGTCTTGGGTTGCTTCCGTTCGCCCGGCCTTCGCAGCCTTCCGGTTCTTCTTGGCCAGCTCGGCGTCGCGCTGATTCAGTGCGACCTCCGCCTATCAATGTCAATTGTTTATTGTATAAATTGCATGTGTAATAGTTCAGGTTCCCCATGTTCCAAATAATCCAATCATCCCTCAAATGGGCCCACTCTGCACGGCAAAGCTCTCCTCGTTCTGCTTCTCTTCTTCAGGTGGTTCCTCATCAATGTCGTTGTTGTCGGCGGTGTTGACCTACAGTAGTATGATGTTGACAGAAACGCTGTCAGAACCCGTTTGAGGTCGTCACATTTCCGTAGCCTGCCAAAAGTGCCAAACCGGCATCAGCCTGCACTTCTGCACATCGGGGTCCAAACAGGTGCGCAAGGCAATAGCGTGAATCAATGCCTGCTTTAGTGCGCCGACATCATTGCCACCATCCCCGCACATCAGAATGTGCCTTGCGGAACCAGGGGCCAGTGAAGTGTCTACAGCTGCTGCCTTGCTCACCTCTGCAGCTTCTGGAGCTCTTCAATGACTTTGGCCTTCGGTCTTAAACTCACGATCACTGCGATCTGTCAGACATTTCTCTGCCTTGCCCTGAGGAGTCATGCGGGCAAAGACGCGAATCTCGTCCACATGCTTCCAAACACTGGGCCTGGGAGCATCGCATCGTACTCGCTCGAGCCAGCTTGAATGAATGAGCAGTGACATTTGGGGGGCTCCCAAAAAAGTGGGTGGTTGCCTTTGATTCCGCTTTCAAGCACCATCCAAAACGGGTTTCCCTATGTGAGCGCATCTGCAGGCAGCAAATGTGCACGCTATGCGCAAACACGACTCCGGGGACTTAGTCTGGAATGGCTGAGGAAAAATGCATTGCTTGCGCCGCATCCACTGTATCAACGCTCATACAGAGAGCATCTCTGGGGTGCGTTGCTTAAGCCCAAGCTGTGCGTCCGCAAAAACCAGCTAGCTCGGTTTCATGCACCTTCGGCATAAGCCACCAGCTCCTGGGCCACTGCCGCATCCAATGCTTCTCCTAGCCCAACCCATATGGCAAGGGCTTTGAGGACTGACTGCAAAACGCATCGGGCCTGTCGTCATCAGGGCATACTCTTTGGCCAGATTCCCCCAGTTGTCTGGGCTGAGCGGCAAGCGCTCGCCACTTTTGCTTCCTGAAATGCGAGCCATGCCATGCTCACCCAACTGACTGAGTCGCTTGGCCCAGCCTGTGGCCACAACCCATTCGGCCCCTGTGTCAGCCTTTCGGCCCAACGAACCAAAACGTCAAGACTTTGGAAAGCCGCACGCGCCGCGCGCCTTGGACAGCAGCAAGCCGGGCAGGTGCCCATCTGAAATGCTACAAGTTCGCGCTATGTGAAGTGCCTTGGCTCGAAGCTCCAAGACATCAAGTCAACCTACCACGCCCACTCGTCCATTCATTGCTCGACTTGTGCTGGCAAGTTTCGGTCAGCGGGGAATCGCCAGTAACCATAATCACCTATCACAGGTCACTTCTGGCATTTGCTGCGGTCTGCGGTCTGTGGCTGTCTGCTGCGCCTTGTGGTCAGACTCCTTCAAGGCTCCGACCACCAGCGCTGAGTCTTTCCGCACCAGGCACTCAAAGGCAATAAATCCCGCGAAGGACAGCTGCTGCTCAGCCTTCGGAACGCAAGCCCCAGAACAAGGCCTGGATCTACTTCGTGATTGCGGGTCTTCTTGAAGCCCAAACCTCCAATGAAAACCGTACATCAATGGTATCTTGAAAATTCGGAGAAAAAAAAAGAAGGGGAAAAAAAAAAACGTAATCCGCGGCCTCCTCGCGAGTAAGCTTGTTGCTATTGGAAAGCCGTCTGTATGCAAGTGCCAGCACCTGCCATGGATACCAATAGGCTCTGCCAGCGCTCTCCAACTTGCCAGCTTTGCCCGAAGGCCACGCTCGGCCAGGTCGGTGTGACACTTGTCATACCACCTCAAGAAACTAAAATATGTTTGCTGGGGTGTGTGGTGTGTGAGCACGTGAGATGGTGTGCGATGGCATGTGTTTGCACATAATGGGCCTGTGCTAGCGGCTAGCGCGCAAGTTGCGAGGTGGCATGTAACGAAGTATTGACATGTGCTTGTGTGTGTGCGTGATGGCAAACAATGGTGCAAGATGGAATGTGTTTGCGTGTGAGGGTGTGTGACAGAAAGTGATGGTGCGCGATGGCATGTGTTTCCATGTAATGTGTGGTGTGTAGTGTCGGTGTGTTATGTTGGTGTGTAGTGTGGGTGTGTAGTGTCGATGTGCTATGTTGCTGTGTAGTGAGGGTGTGTGTGTGTGGGTGTGTGTGTGTGTGTGTGCGTGTTTTGTGTGTATGTTGTGTTGCCGGTTGCATGTTGTGTATTGTGCGTTGTGCGTTGTGTGTTGCGTGTTGTGTGTTGTGTTTTGTGGCGTGTTGTGTGTGTTGTGTGTTGTTTGTTGTGTGCTGTGTATTGTGTGTTGTGTTGTGTGTTGAGTTGTGTTGTGTTGCGTTGTGCTGTGTTGTGTGTTGTGCTGTGCTGTGGTGCGTTGTCAATCGTGTTGTGTGTGTGTGTTGTGTGTTGTGTGTTGTGTGTTGTGTGTTGTGTGTCGTGTGTTGTGTGTTGTGTGTTGCGTCGTGTGTTGTGTTGTGTGTTGTGTGTTGTGTGTTGTGCGTTGTGTGTGCTGTGTGTTGTGTGTTGCGTTGTGTTTTGCGTGCGTCGTGTCGCGTTGTATGTTGTGTGTTGCGTGTTGGGTTTTGGGTTTTGGGTGTTGGCTGTTGGGTGTTGCGCGCGCGTGCGTGTGCGTTTGCGTGTGCGTGTGCGTGCGCGGCGTGCGCGTGTGCGTATGCGTGTGCATGCGGGTGCGTGTAAGCCTGCTCGTGCGCCCGTGCCTTTGCCTGTGCCTGCGCCTGTGCCTGTGCGTGTGCACGTGCGTGCGCCTGAGAGTGTGCGTGTGCGTGCGCGTGGGAATGCGCGTGTGCAAATACATGTTCATGCGCAGGTGTGCGTTTGCGTGTGCGTTTGCGTGTGCGTTTGCGTGTGCGTTTGCGTGTGCGTTTGCGTGTCCGTGTCCGTGTGTGTGTGTGCGCACGCGTGTGCGTGCGCATGTAGGTGCTCGCGTCTGCGCGTGCGCGGGAGCGGGTGCGGGCGCAGCTGCAGGTGCGGGTGTGTGTGTCTTGTGTGTGTGTGTCTTTGTGTTTGTGTGTGTTTGTGTGTCTGTGTGTCTGTGTGTCTGTGTGTCTGTGTCTCTGTGTGCGTGTGTGTGTTTGTGTGCGGGTGTGTGTGTGTGTGTGCGTGTGTGCGTGTGTGCGTGTGTGCGTGTGTGTGTGTGCGTGTGTGCGTGTGTGCGTGTGTGCGTGTGTGCGTGTGTGCGTGTGTGTGCGTGTGTGCGTGTGTGCGTGTGTGCGTGTGTGCGTGTGTGCGTGTGTGTGTGTGTGCGTGTGTGCGTGTGTGCGTGTGTGCGTGTGTGCGTGTGTGCGTGTGTGCGTGTGTGTGCGTGT